TACTAGAAAGTATTATTAACTTCTCTTATATTGCGTCAATATAAAATTTTTGAAAAACAATTCATAAGTACTAGATATGTATAATCTGATGATTATTTTGTTCATGATTGATTGTTTCTTTCAGGTTTCATTTGTAGTTCTATCGTCGTTCAAAGTCTGATTCAATTGGTTGCCAAGGTTTATATCCAGGTTTATGTATCAATTACTGTTATATACCATGCTAATTTCTAGAAAAATCTTTCTATATTTAGAGTTTATTGAACTAGCAAAATTAATAAATTTTCTTGAATTCAGCTAAATACTTAATTGAATTCTCACTGCTGGTATTTATATTCTAAAAACTATTATTTGCAGTAGAGAAATTAAAAACTCCGGTTATTACTTTTTTGATAGTGTAATGTTTTTTAAGCTGAGAAATTTAAACTAAATTCGTCTCAAGTTATCTAAGAAATGGTACTTTTTTATTTAATAGTTTGCTTATATTAGTATCATAGTATGACTGTAGTTTAACTGCTTGCACACAATGAAACTAAGAGTTCTACAGCTATTTATAAGGTACCCGTTTCGCATTTCCTGAAATAAATAATACCCTGTTTTAGTTTCATTACGCGATGTAAAAATTGTGGTAATCCTATCGGTAACAAACTTTTCTGTTAGCAAAACGATATTTACTGTGTCCTATGTATTATAACTCTGTGAAATATTATCAACTTCATTGGGTAATTTAAAACTTTTCATTTGCGACTCTTCAAATTGAATTCTGTTTCACTGTATTATTTTTCAACTTTCTTGCTTTGAGACAACATGAAACGTCGTTACAAATTATTCAAAATACTTCGCAATGTGACGTTTTGTTATTTCTAAATTTTTTGTTAGGTATAAACAGACACGAATTGTAGGAACCTTCACTTTCATAATATTTTATTTATCCCCCATCGTAAATACATATCCATATCCATTAATTTACAGTTATTAAAGTGTTTACATGAATATCAACAACATAATTTGTTTCAGCACAACAAATGTCTTCAAATAATTTGAAATTTTTATTTCATCTTCTGTATAATTCAAAGAAAACTATTTTCTATCCTTACGTAAAAAACTATAAGAATACAAGCAGAGATCATAAAGGACTTGCAGTAGGTTCCAGAATGAGCGTTTCTTCCTATCTGGGACCCGTCATCTGGATATGCCTGAACCCTAGAATTAGTGTTCACTTTGACGCTTGAACTCAGCACCGTTCAGTTCAAATACCATAGCTTTATCTGCTAAGTTATTAAGTCCAGATAGGCAACGGCATATCAACGGAGTGAATATCCTTCGTATTGATTGATTTTCATATATGTTTTTCACTTAAATGTTTGCTGCACATTTAAATCCAAAAAAATAAGTTGCATGTATCAAACACTACCAAAATGATCTTTTTGTGCTGATGGTCAAGTTCATGAAGAAATTTTTGAAATAAATAGTACATAATATAGAATCGCAGGTGATTGAACTAGAGTAAGCTCAATAAAAACATGTTTTCTTAAATATCCACAAAAATAAGCAATTCTTTATTACGCAGCTTATTTTGTTGGAATTGACAAAAAGACGCCCAGGTATACCGGTTAGGTACAAAATCTTACTACAAAAATTTCAACACCTTTCTCAGATATACCAAGACAGATGATTAGATTTAGTTCATGATGAAATAAAATTTTAAGGATACTAATATTATATACAAATCTAGGTCTCAAACTATTGAATTACTGATATCAATATTTGTGCAGAAATTGTGACACAAAATTCTTTTTTCAAATAACGTTGTTTGCCCTTATAATTAAGCATCTAAGATAATTAGGTTGTGACGGGATACAGTGGTTGTTTAAATGGTAAGGTTTTTATTTAGTCAACTCTTTCTTTCCAAAATTCAATCCACACCATCTTTCAAAGTAAATTAACCAACAGTATTCTTTAGTGGTCAGTATAAACATTGACTCATTAACATTTGTCGAAAAGACTGAAAACACTAATAGTTTTTTATGAATGGTTAGGAGGAAACGAAGTTATTTCGAATGAAGCACACACTAGGGCTTCAATGGTTTTCTCTGCATTGTCAACGACATAGGAGGTTAAAGCCAATAACCCTTGTAAAACACAGTTTGCGAAGCGACATAGATTGCAAAGCTAAATAATAATGACGGAAGATATGTAGTAAAACCAGGTATATTCAGTCTAGTTACCCTCAAGTTCCTTCATCAATCAAAATCTTTAACAACACTTTTCATAACCTAAGGCAAAACATAAATTCTATCAGATACCTATACGGGACAGGTTTGTTGAAAAAATGTCACCAATTGATGCCAAAAACATGCGAAAATCATACTTAATTATCCATAAATCACTTATTTTTTTAAATATTTACAAATCATTAAATTGTGAACTCATAAGGGTAATCGATTTGAAAGTGTTATAATAGTCATTGTACAATTATTAATCCTTTACTCAATCCAAATGTTTACTCATTATGTTTACATTTATAAATGAAATTATACCATCCTTTTGATATCAAAGATTAGGTTACCCTTAATGAATCTTATTTACACCCTATAGTAATGACTTTTAATAGTCAGAAGTATAGTTTATTATCACTAAACTAATCAGAACTAACCACGTCCTCCATGTGAAAGTTAAATATTTCTAAAACAAGGACAATTAATGCAGTAGAATAACATAAATTTAGTGTCTTCTGCGCTTTATCATCAGCTACTTGCAATCTAAACGCATTGGTAATAATCCATGGAAAACGGCTCACATACTTTATGTCATAATGTCACCAAAGTTCTCATTGATGAACACCAATGAAAAGTGAAATAATTATGGAAGAACTATAAGCGATTAATATGTAAAATGATGTGAATACTCATAGATTGAATAAATGAATAAACGGCATTAAAATTATGAAAATAGAAACAGAAGTATGTAAAATTGTGATATTAATGTTATAATTGCATATTTCATAAAAAATAAAATAAAATAAAATTGACCAGCTGAGTACAGATCAGATAGGAGAAGAGGATTAAAGATTACTGTCATGAGAAGAACGACGTAACAAATATTTATGAATCAGTATAGGGGATTTTTGGAAATTGTAGTATCTACACAGTTGATTTAAGCTTGATCACCAACGACAACCTGGAAGCACTGGATGGACGTTTTGTCCAAGTATGGGACTCCTCAACAGTGAGCATCCACGATCCTGCACGCGGCACTGTAACCCAGATCCTTCAGTGTCACGCACCAAGCACCACGATAAATCAAACTTAATAACTGAGTCTTTTTGGATAAGTAGTTTAAGCATACTTGAAATATTACCGATTATATTGCTTAGGCAAACCGTTTGAATGTAGTTGTTCTTCATCTTACTATCGTGTACTAGAGAGTATTAACAACTTTATTAGGATCTCTATAAACTTCGTTGTAATAATTATTCATTTATAATATGAATATTTAATATCAATCTATATCTCTCCATAAACAATGAGTCTATTCCCGTTGGCCAATAAAATTTAACATTAAATTGGCGACTGATTGAATGTAATATACTTTCCATTATTTGTTCATATGTAGCCAAGAGAATAACTTCGTCGGAAATGTTTCTTCTCTGAACCAATTTACTTTCATTTTTTTAACGATTGAATAGGAATGTATCGTAGACAGAAGGTTTCTTTTAAACGCCATTTGTCTACTCATATGTTTCAAATAATTTCCTTCAGTATAATGGTTTTTTCCATAACACTTAGATACGTCTGTAGACAACAAAACAGACTAAATCATGAACATTAAATTTTATATCATCACATAAAGGATTGTTTTAATAAATCTATCTAGTACTTAGTTTATTCAAAATTATCACGTTAAACTATGTTAGTGATACTTGTAGGACAAGGTTACGTCATCGTTGACATTGTAACTAAGTAATCTAGATTATTTTTTAATTGTTTCAATAATATATAAGATGGAGATCAATATTCCTATCCAAAAGACATCTTTGTATATATATACTGTTCAGAATTTCATTACTTATTATTGAGCTTATATTCTAACTAATACAAAACTCATTAAATTTTTTTTGAGCAGTCAAATTTGATGCAAATACTGATTTATGCTTATAAGCATATATTTAGGAGTACATATTTTTCACTTTAAAAAACCTAGTGTACACAATGTCGATTCATCTAGACTGGTGGCGAAATTGCAACTTGGCCGACAGGATTTGATTTGCACTCGGGAGGACCTGGCACACATGACAATGATCACCACCTACTGATCGATCAATTGTAAATGTTATGTATGTAATTTCATAAACATGAAATTAGTCCATTCATTTGAATGATATTCAAAATCATGGTGAATGAATAAAGGTGTTTCGAATGCACACATGCCTTCCAGTATCTTATTCATCAGACAAAAAACATTCAGTGAATCAGTTGATCATTCAGAGAGTTGAGAAATAAGAGAATCAGTCGTTATGTTGAAAATTTGTACTTGAATGTTATTCATTAAAGAACAACATATCAATGATTTTGTTTTATCTAAAGTCATGTGATAACTAACGTGACTATTCTAATGAGGGTTATTCTACGCATTATTATTCAAACAATTCATTTGAATTGTTCCAAAGACCATAAATTTAGTTCATCTAGTTGAATGGTTTCAAAAAGTATCCTGATTATTTCTTTGATCTTTAACTTAAAACAAAACGAAAGATTATGTGTAACTGTAAGAAGAACATCTCAGTTTTCTTGAATTGTTCAAAGGAACAATACGTGCAGTGAAATTATGAACTCAAAATGAAACAGACAACATTCAGATAAATATACAATCATTTAAAATTATTTGATCGAGGATAGTTGGTAGAACCATTTTAAAGAGTATGCAAAGTCAATTAAAGTCACATGTGAATTATTACATCTTACAGTTAAGTAGAATGCTCAAATTTGAGTGTTTGAACAACCAAAATATTTAGTAGGATGATTTGATTACAAATCTTTGGTTATAATTGTGTGGTATCAGAATTAATAACGAAACAGGTGCTTGTGAAGGTAATCATAACATGGAAAAGTTAGTTTTCCTTTTATCCGCTAACTGTAGAGTAAGCCAGTGAAGTTACCTGATTTGAACTTTTGAAACCCGAAATTAAGAGGACAAACACCAATTTGTTTGGGTGTGATAATCTTCTTATCATCATGTTATACTTACCATAGACTTCTGCTGGAACAGTGCCCCAGTTTTCGAGGGTTGTCAGGTGATTGTAATTAAGTTCAAGAGGAATTCCTGTGGTTACATGAAGCGTGAGGATAAATTTCGAGAACTCCCTTTTGAAAATTTTCAAGTGAAGTTCGTGTACTCTATCCTCTAATCTCAACTATCAAACTTCTTAGATTCACTTGATATTGTTTGCTTATCAAACTTCTTGTTCGTCTTAAGAAAGTAAAATCGGTAAAGCAGTCTCAATAATGAACTTGTAAGGTTCACTCATAAAAAAGACTACCGTTATAATTGCCGCTTAGTTAACATGTATCTCAAAACGTTCTTAGTTTTGGTACTTATAAACAATTCAGGGGCATTAAACTTATAATTCACAGTTGACTTTTAGTGTTTTCAGAGAAAAGATGACTATTACAAGCTATCGTAAAACAATAATGTTACTTCAGATGACCAGATTCTGTCCTACCTAGTTGATATATATACAGAAGATTCAGTTTAGGTATAATTTACACATACTTTGAGTGCCATTTTTTAAACTTTCCGGAACACCATCTTCAAATACTGTTTGAAATATATAACACAACTGTTCGGTATCCTTTGAATTTCAGTAATTTTATAAATTGTCGCATGTATACTTTTAAAAATATTCATAATCCATCACAAAATGCTCATGAAAGTTCTATATTCAAACTGCTATATCTGAATTATTTGCATATTGATCTGAATGTCACAGGATTAACACGGATTAGCCCATTTACTGCTAACAAAATTTATAAATACACTAAATTAGTTATAAAAACATTATTTTTCATGAAAGTAAACAAGCGACAATTTACACTAAACTATACTCAATTTTTAAAAATTGGAAGAACGTATGTATGAAATTCATTTCACCTAAATGTTTGAAGAAAACTTAATTGCAGCTGGCGAATGGCTGTAAAACTAAACTCAGTTGAACATATTAAGAACTTTTACTGTGTAGACTTAAGAAACTGTAATGAACCATAACACATCATCAGTAGCCTAGAAATAACCTAACTGAACGTCATCAATGTAGGGTAACTTTCTAACTTATTGTAATGTCATTAACTAGTTAACTCTACATCTCATGGACTCATGTCCAGTAATTCAAAGCTAGTAAGGCCGCTAGGAATAATAAAGATGTTCATTTACTTAGTGATGCAAGATAACATAAGGTAAACAGTTTAACAAAACTAATTCTCTGACTAATGTATTTAGATCATTTTCAATACCCCTTAGTCCACTGATCTGAATTTCTTACCTTTATCAGTACATCAACTATAATAATAACAAGTGGTTAACGTTAACAGTTTTGTTTCCTACGAACAATAACTAAAGTTATATAGACTAAAATTCAGTAATACGAAAGGAAAAGCTTTTATGTGTCCAATTAATTCTACTTAAATGTAATTTCAAAAAATGGCTTACGTAAGTACATTTTTTATAACATTACAGTAAACAATTAAAACAAAATAGTTCAACTTTTTAAACCCGATCTTCAGAAGTATTTTATATTTTTTCAACACATTTTTCATTGATTACATTGTGCGTCTATTTAATAAATAGTTTTTTATTCAATGATCTAATAAATTATCGGATCAAAATGTTCACGTTTTTCAAACTGACGATCCTCATTACGTTTAAATAATATAGGATCAAAGTATGAACGTTTATAAATAATTGGATCAAAGTATGAACGTTTAAACAGAATTGGATCAAAATTACGTTTGAATAAAATAGGATTAAAGAGAGTACGCTTGAATGCCATTGGATAAAAGTTTGAGTATTCTGATTCCATGAATCTTGAATTACCATCTGTGGGATACCGTCCTTCGTATCGCCTTCCAAATATGGGTTCGTTTGTTTTATGGTTCACATAATTTAGTTCATGCACAGGTATCTAATTGAAAATAAAAACAGTATTCATTATGAAGTGTTATATATATATATATATATATATATATATATATATATATATATATAAGTATTATCATTAATGGCTTTATTCAATAATATATTTTGGTACAACATAGAATTCTCAGCACAAAGTGTTTCAACAAGTTTCTTCTACATCAACAAAAACAACAAAAAGGTCAAAGAAAAATCTGAATTTATACAACTTTTCAATTAAGGACATGCTTAAGAATACAGGTTATTGACTAGGTCAAATCTAACAACCTGTTTGTCACAGAATATATTTGCTAGGTAAGGCATTACATAATTTTTATACCTTTGTGTGCATAGATTTCAATGTATTGACGTCTCCTTCTACCAGAACATATACAAAGAGAAAGATATGGATGAAGAGGGTGGTTAGTATCTGATAACACCTACCTGGAGTTCGCAAGACTTTAGGTGTCTATCAACAATCATACTAATAATGACCTTTAATGATTCACCACACATTCTGCTAACTGCCTTCAGCGCTCTCCGAGATACAGAAAAGTCTTTTCTCAAAAACCCAAGAAAGAATAATGGAGAACAGTAAAAAATAATAGGTGATATGCGGGAATCGATAAATTGTAACAGTATATGTTGAGTAGTCCTAAAGGTATGCAGCCTCTTCATGTAGTAATTCAGACGGAACACTTTCTTCGATAACAGTAAAACATGAGAAGACCAAGAGAGATTAGAGGGAAAGGTAAAACCAAGATAACTGACCTCCGACACTGTGTTTATCAAAGATCCTCCGATGGCACAAGCACCATGGGATCCCAACATGGTGTTAAGGTGCTGTTCATGTCTCAGGCTAAAGTTAACAGCTGGACATTTAGACAGATTAAGTATGAGACCATTAACAATAGACCACCATTCAATATAAGACAAAATCTCATTCATTGCTATGGGATATGAAGAGGTAGAATTCGGTATACATACAGTGAGGTCGTCTGTTTATCTCACAAAAGTGTTTTCTGTGGAAGATAACGGATCATGCAGAAAAAAAAGAGAATAGTATAGGTGAAAGAACAGCTCCTTGTGGCACACCTTCATGAGACAGTAGAGACGTTGAACACTTTCCTCCAAATTCAGTGTATTTGCCAGTGTATAAATGCCAAAAATAAATTTTGAACTAACAAATCAAATCATTGTACTTGACAAAACGGTCTCATACACTATAATGACAATATGCAACAAAATTAAGATGTAACTAATCTGTTTATGAACATACATAATCATTGATATTAATTATATGAATATCTGAAATTGTAGGAGTAAACGTTTCTTCCAAAACTTTATTCAACAACACATAAATACATAAATAAATCTGTTTATGAATAGATATTGAGGAAAGAAACTTGAATTATTGTAAAAGATTCTTTTGAACAATTATAAACGTTACTAATTATTTTTCAATTTATACTTTGAATTCATTTAAGCTTTTCTGTAACATATATTTAACAATAATAGTAGTTTCTTCTAAACTCCGCCTGAAGCCCTCTAGGCTACTGCCGGTCCCAGACCAGGATAAAGGAAGGAGGTTGGGCATGTGGTTAGCAACTTCATCCAGTTGAAAACTTACTCACCAAAAATGTTAACCGGGAAAAGTATTCAGATCATTTTTTTCTACGTAATTAATGAAATTTCGGAAAAACGATTTATTTCATTTTCATTTTTAAACTAAACGATATCGTTTACTGCATTGTGAATCGTTGAAATGATGAAACACACTTTTTTCAAACAATAATTCAGAATAAAGTAAAAGTAACCAAATTAACGGGTCTTAAGGAATAAAGTTCAACAAGTATTTTAATCTGACTTTTTATTCAACATTTGATAATCGATTAATCTAAGCAAATTAAGTAGTATGCAACGTCTAGTTATCGAAATATTGATATTGTTACTTGATTGATGAATAATATCTAAATATTTTTCAAATCTGTTAAGCTGTCTGTTGTTAAACTGATTATAGTATCTCAAAAGTGTTACCATTCATAATAGATTTACTTCATAATGAACTAGAGTTTTCGTGAACTTTCAAAGGGACATATTTTGTAGCGTGGTCACGATTACTATTTATTTTACATACATTTTGAAGAAAATTCCATCACTGTAATGAAAATGATATCAGCAACATAATACATCTGATCTAAAACCAAACATGCAGCTATTCAGTACTCAATAGATAGTTCGAAAGAGTGAGGAAGAAAATAAGACGTTTTCTGATTTAAACCAAAGGATCAATCTTTAGACGATTAACTCCCAATCGTTATTATTTAATATATATGGTTCGTTTACGATGCATATCTTATATTATGGTTTGTCTCATAACAAGCGATTAATATAAACAGACACAGCTAATGATTGTTATACCATTTCTCTACTCTCAGTCGATGTGGCAAACACAAGATGATGAATTATCACAAACAAGTTTTTTTTCATAACGCATTGTAAAAACTATTCAGTTGTAAATTTACTATTATGAAACTTTATAAAAAATCAATCTGCATTTCAGTGGTCATAGTTCTAAATACTCATACTGTTTGATTACTTTAAAGAATCGAATCTAATTATTCCAGATAGAATACAATATTTGATACGTGTACCATAGATCCTAAACTGATCCCAGACTCCAGTTTGATTAAACTGAATTATTACATTACCATAATACTTAACACACTAATGAATTATAGTAATATTTTACTGACAATAACACATTTGTGCACTGTGTCATTAGTAGCATTATCAATATTTACATAACGATATTTGCTTACGGATTATAAATCCATCACATCAGTAGTAAAACATATCCAATACAGATATTCCAACTATTTATCTTAAACCAATTAAATGAAATTAAGTTTCTATTTCCATTAAGAAAAAGAAAGGTAAAAATAGATAGAACCTTAAAAAAGAATTTTCATCAATCAAATGATTACTATCAACACTTTAAGGTCATATGTCAATGTTATCGAAATTATTGATTTCAATAATATCGATAAACAATATGTTTGTTTGTTTCATTCAACTCATGACGAAATCTATTCTCATTTACTTAATGTTTAAACAATAGGATTATTGAAATAATAATAATCACACTTTATAGCTAGAGATGATTGAGTTTATTAGCTTTCTAGACCAAACATTTTGACTTATAGTTAACCATAATCAAACTTTAGTTTAATAAAAGGCTTGTTAATATTGATCACACAGGGATTTGTGAAATAAGTAGAGTTAAAAAGTTTCTTGAAGTAATTACAAATATTCTACAGGTAGTTTATGGATTCATAAAAAGTAATACCATTATTATATTTTCTGTTGCTTAACTAAATGCAAATGTAGTTTTCCATGAGATTAAGTAGTTAGAAGGGAAAGATTAACATAGATAAAATAAATCAAATAAATGTGCTAATGGTATAAGTAGTACGGAACATTGAACTTACTTCAATAATTATTTCATAAATATTGTCAAATGTGCAACAGATGTCTGTATTCTTCAATAAAATATATCTGTTTATAACTAATTATGTATTTATGAAGAGTCCCACAATAGGACGAAACGGCTGTCCAGTGTTATCAGATTTTCCATGGTGATCTAGCTTCAATTGAATCATGATCTCAACTATTAAAAACCCTTTCTGAATATGTATATGTTATTTTTCTTAATTTATATAATACTATTTTTGTCACTTCAAAACAGATTCATCTATGTATTTATGAAGAGCAAAAGACAACACACCATAATTATAATGAAGTTAAGGTCTAAACGTTGTTTTCTTTACTCACAATAATTCTCTAATTAAGAAGGGGATTTGTGGAGATTTCAGTATTTTTCAAAGTTGAAATGATGAGTCAATTGAAGCTAGACCACCATCAAAAACCTGGAAGCACTGGACGGCCGTTTCGTCCTACTATGGGACTCCTCAGCAGTGCGCATCCGCGAACCCACTCTCGCGGGATTCGATTTCAGGACCTACCAGTTTCGAGTCGAAGCCCTTAACCGATAGACCACTGAGATGGCATCCAACGGTGTTAATGTCTAACTTCAACTGATCCACGAAGCAGTGACCAGTGAAGTTCAACCACGTCTGTTGTGAGATAGGAACTCACTGAAGACAATTGGTGAATGGTTGCTCAACTTTGTGGATCAGTTGAAGTTAGACATTAACACCGTTGGATGCCAGCTCAGTGATCTATCGGTTAAGGGCATCGGCTCGAGACTGGTAGGTCCTGGGTTCGAATCTCGCGAGAGCGGTTTCGTGGATGCGCACTGCTGAGGAGTCCCATAATAGGACAAAACGGCCGTCCAGTGCTTCCAGGTTTTTGATGGTGGTCTAGCTTCAATTGACTCATCATTTCAACTTTGAGAAATTCTCTAATTGTTTACCTTTTTACTGATTATTGATTTATTTACTTTTTTAATCAACAAATAAACAGAATCAACTTGATTATTAGATTACATGAAGTGTATTATACAATTAATTATAATAAATTCATTATAGTTGAAAGCGCGAGTCAATTGAAGCTAGACCACCATGGAAAATCTGGAAACACTGGTCTAGCTTCAATCGACTCACGCTTTCAACTATAATAAATACTAAATCTCCACAAAACCCCTTCTATAATAAATTCATTAATTAACAGATAATGTTATATAAACAAAATATATTACTAATTATTTAACCTTTACAAGTAGTTAGTAGATTTTATTTTCAAACTAAACAAAATAGAAGAATGAACCATAAGTATAAAGAATAGAATATTATGGTTACTTTTCAATTTTATTATAAAATGGATGAAACCAGATTTTCAAAAGTATATATGTCTTTTTTTTTTTAAAAATGAAGAAAAAAGTCTCCAGATTAAACACTATAAAGATATTTTGTTCATGCCTACAAATTTGTATTATTTGATTAGGATAGAAGAAAATTACAGGAAATCACATAGATTAGATCTTGATGTTCAAAATTCATTCATCACACAATTTATCCATTTAAAGATCTTGATTATTATCATTGTTTAAAATATTTATATAATAATAACAGTATATATTGATCCCTTACACTTATTACCAAGTATCAAACCAACTTCCTTTTTATATCTAATTTAAATATGAATATTGTATACAATATAATTTCCGAAGATGACTAACCAACTCAATAGAAATATCGTAAGTTACAGTATCGAGTGAAATGTGTTTGAGACTTATAAAGAAATGATATAATATAAGTGACTTTAAATACATTTCATTAATGAGTTTTAACTAGCATAAGAACAACTATGTCACTCTTTTTTTTCAAATTATTTTACAACAAAGATATTCGTTTTTATTTCGATGGGGTTTTATTCTCTGAGCTAGGAGTTTGGTCGAAAAACTTTCATCGTCCTTATAAACGACATCATCAGCACAAACTTCCATTAGAAACGAAGTGTTTGAATTTCTCCATATGTGGTTCACAGCTTGTCCTGTACACCTCGATATTGATTGGTTCTTGTTGTTCATTTGTATCAATCATTCATACATGTGAATGAACTTCGGAAACTAATTGTTTTTCAGTGATCTGAAAATAAGTAATTCTGATAGTTCAGATCATGATTCAATTAAAGTGAGACCATCATGGAAAATCTGGAAGCACTGGATGGCCATTTCGTCCTGTTGTGCAACTCCTCAGCAGTGCTCATTCACGAGCACGCCTTTAAATTCGAATCCAGGATCTATAGGTCTCGCTTGCGAACGCCTAACCTACAGATCACTGAGCCGGAATCCAACGGTGTTATTGTCTAACTTCAAACGTCCACCATTGTCTTCAGTGATTTAATATCTCACAAGAGACTCTGTTGAACTATACTGCTGAGGAGTCCCACAATAGGACGAAACGGCCGCCCAGTACTTCCAGGTTTTCCATGGTGATCTGGTTTCAATTGGTTCATGACCTCAACTATTAGAACCGCGATTACATTCACAAAAAAGTAGTAATCAAGCTAATTTCAGGGAGCCTATTGGTATGTTACTTACATAGAATGTACAAAAAATATTTAAATTGATCTTAAATCCTTCATCTAAACTAAACGTTAAAAAATCACGTTCTTCGTAACAGATTATACCACGTTCGAACGTGCTTATTCCAACAACCATAACAATTTGAAAGCAGTAATAACACATACTTGTTGTGGTGATAAAAATAACTTTGTTTTGGACAAATTGTCAGCAAACCATTGTGTTCATAAAACGTATTTGTTTGAGTTACTAGCAAAACTCATCTTTCGTATAATCGATATAAACTTATTTTAACGAATAATGTTTTCTACTCTGATTAGCACATTTTCATTGAAATGTAGATTTTTAATTAAAGTAGTTTATGAACACTTGTACAGTTTGATAAGTACGATCCAAGTTAACTATTTAATCTTAAATAATTGTATTTCCAGCGTCAGTCAGTTTAATGAGATATGACCATTATCTTCACAGCTAAAGCTAATAGTTAGCTTGACCTGTACTATGTAGTTATACGATCTTTAGAAGACAACTAGAATTACTGTAAGATTTACTAACAAACGAAATATACAATTTGTATTTCCAAGTTCATCCGTTAATATAGGACGAATATTTTATAAATAAATCCCTACAATCAGAATTAAAAGCGTTCAAATGAACACACATTTTAGTAGCATATGAAACTAAATTATTCATTTTTAATTATTTGGCTAGTTACTAAGATCGAGATTTAAACCTACTTCCATCTTAAAATGGGATTACTTAAATAGAAATCATAGATTTTCATAATTTATTGTACAAAATCAGTTCATAGTTCAAAACATTGAATACATTAACAATAAGTACTTACAGCATTGACGATACTACTGAAAGTGATGAAGACAAGTAGACAATAAAATAATTGTTCAATAATCATTTTATTATCGAATTTATATATTTTCATAATGTTTAATTAGTAAGTAATTTGAAGAGATTTATGTTATTATCCTTGTTCAATTTTTTTTTCAAAATTTATAATTAAGTGTACTGCGATTTGTTTCTTTTTATTGTTCTATGGGTTAAATTGTGCAGACTAATTACAAATAAGAAATGAATTATTCAAACGAAATTACTTTATATATATATATATATATATATATATATATATATATATATGCACGTATATGTACACATATATGTATATATATATACATATGTGTATATGAACTGTTTTTTTAAAGGATTGAGTTGTTTTCATTGTTCCTCTCTTCCTGTCTCTATCTATCTCTCTGTGTCTTACGTTCTCACTAAAGTATACCAACTATAAATAATGAGTCTAGTAATTTCTAAACCCCAAATAATATATTATCTGATCTCTGTTAAATAAGAACTTTGGTAATAGAAGTAGTTTTGTTATAATAATAATAATAATAAGTATTATTATTGTTAGTAGTAGTATTGTTATTATTATCCTGATATACAAAATAGCAAACAAAGGGACAGAAAGGTTAGGTTAGTAATAGTGATTACAAAAACTAAGAATAAAACAAAACACTAAGAAATAGGAAAAAAACATGACGTTTATTTGCTAAAATTCGATTTGCTAATTCGAAATATCTGAACTCTATAATATTCATCGTTGAACATACACATACACATATCTATTATGTAGATATGTGTTGACAAACAAGAGCTTAAATATATAATAGGCTGGTTGATAGCTTCAATAGTGTTGATAACTGTTGTCAACCTTATGACTAATGATTATGAATACTTTTTAATAATAATTAATTTTCAGAAATGTTTAATAATCTTGAGATTAATATTCTCTTACGGAAAACAGGTACATTCTACATTTACATAATTGTAAATTAAGGAAGATTGGTAATTTTTCAAGGTTTTTTTATTACAGCCGATCATTATAAGTAGTTACTTATCAAACAGTTACGACTGTTCAGAAATAACTAGATTTATTCAATTTGTAAATGAATGTTTGGCTTAAAGTAGGTAACATTTTAAAGTAAAAATGCTGCTCATCAGAATTAAACAACTATCTCTACAGATTACAACTATTTATCTGAATTCTCAGGCTTTCTTCAATATATTGATCTTAATAACTTGGTAATGTATATAGTTAACATTCCGCCCGACGCCCTTCTACAGTAATTGCCGGTCCCAAGACCGGATAAAGGAGGAGGGTTGAGCACGGAGTCGGCAACCCTACTCCGAAGAAAGCAAACTTGATAAAAATAATTAACCAGAAGAAAATTCAAACCCCCTTTGGTAGGTGAGGGGTCTTCATTTAATAGAGTAGTAGCACCTCGATGTGTAGGCCGAAATTCTCCCGAAATCATGAGGACGATGTTTCCTCTAACAACCAGAACAAAAACTAACATTGGTAAATCGAATGTCTGGACAATATGCGAGACCCAGACAACCAAACACATAGCTGACGAAACAAGAAGATATAACGCTATAATTCTCAGAATTAGTGAAGTTCATTTGAACGAAAAGGCTATGTTTGCGAGAGATGCTGTTGTACAGTTTTCATAGAGAAGAAGATATAACACACACATGCATGGGAACCCTATGGACCCAGGAACATCAAATTATCTTTCACAACAAAGAAGAAGAGGACTAAAAAAGATGTTTGGTGCTATGAACTCACCAGAGATAGCAGTGGAGATGACAGAATCAGTTTTATAAGAGGCTACAATCGATCTCAACGAAGTGCCTAGGAAAGGACTTGACCGAGAATGAATATATCATGAAACGAAATTGAATGAATGAAAGGGAATTAAGCAAAGAAGAAATTTCCACATTTTTGTGCCCCCAACAAAATGATTGTAGGTCGTACTATATTCTTCCAAAAACAGATACAAAAATCTACACGAGTTTGACCGGACCACACTACAGAGAACCGGATTGATCACGTTTGAACTAATAATACGTTCATGAGCCTTTTACATGACGTTAAAGCAAAGAGATGACATTGCTTCTGATCACCACCTGGTTATGGCTAAGATGAAAGTGAAGCTACAGATGTACTGAACAACTGTTCAGGCTACACTTCAAAATTATTGTTCAGTCTACCCTCAAGATATTAATAAACTAAACAAATTAAAAATTACTCTCAACAATAAGTTTCAAGCCTCAAAAGATTTCATACAAAAAGAGGAAACTATAATAGAAAAAAACTCGAAAGCGATCAGTGGAGCACTAATCTCAACCGTTCACGAGGAAATGAGCTCTAATAAACATCAACATAAAAAATGGAACTCCATTGATAACCTTGGTAAGTTTCAAGAAAGGATAAACAAGAAAGCAGAGATCGATAACAGAGGCGTAAAAGCCGATCCGCTGACCAAATACACGAAAGTATACAAGAGATTGAAGAGGAGCACTAAAGTAGACAGACGGTAGTACATGGAAGACTCAGCAATGACTATAACAGCACGCAAATGGGATAACTATATGATACAAAGAAGAGAGTAGCTGGAATATATCGTAAACAAGAGAAGACAGTAAAGAACAAACAAAGCAAGGCAGTCACTGGAATTCAAGAACAACGGAACAGGTGGTTAAAAATCTTTGAAAAACACTTGAACAGACCAGCCAAATTGAATGTACCAGACGTCTAAGCAGCACATACAGACCTTCCCACAACTGCTACTACATCAGCGACCGAAGAAATCAGGAAGACCATCAAACTAATCTAGAGTGGGAAAGCACCAACACCAAAAATCATTCCAGATGAAGCACTGAAGTCAGACATAGATTAGTTGCAAACATGCTCCACGTTCTATTCAAAAGGATTTAGAAGGAAGAACATGTGACGGAAAAATGGAGTGAGGGATAACTCACCAAGATACAAAAGAAAGGAGATCTCAGCTAGTGCGAGAACCATGGAGGAATCACACTACCATCGATACTAGGAAAAATCTTCGAGAGAGTGCTGTCGAACCGGATGAAAGATTTAGTAGACTTCCACCTTCGAGATCAATAGTCCGCATTCGTTAGGGACCAGTCGTCTGCATGCAAAATCGCGACACTACGTTTCATCGTCAAACAATCAGTTGAATGGAACTCGTTACTATACATCTCAGAATCAACTACACGATTTGGACTTCGTAGGAAAACTAACGGTCCTCCTATCACATATACACGAACGAATACAGACGAAGACAACAAATGCAGCGGCAGTCTTTGCATCAATAGGCTTCAACATACACAAAGGAAGAAGCAAGATTCTCAAATACAACGCAGAGAACCCTAACCCGATCAAACATGATGGAGAAACTCTGGAAGAGGTGTAAACACTCACATACCTGGGGAGCATCATTGTTAAACAAGGAGGATCGGATGCAGATGTAAAGGCAAGTATTGACAAAGCAAGGACCGCATTTTTAAAATTGAAGAACATATGGAACTCCAAAAAACTGTCAACTAACTTCAAAGTGCGAATCTTCAATTCGAACGTCCAAACAGTCATACTGTATGGAGCTGAAACATGGAGAACTATTACGACCATCGTCAAGAAGATGAAAGTATTTATAAACAGTAGTCTACGCGAAATACTCAACATTCACTGACCGGATACCATCAGCAACAGCCTTCTCTGGGAGAGGACAAACTAGCTTCCAGCTGAAGAGGAAATTAGGAAAAGACGTTTGAAGTGGATAGGACATACATTAAGAAAATCATCAAAGTGCATCACGAGTCAAGCCCTAACCTGGAATTCTGAAGGGGAACGGAAAAGAGGAAAGCTAAAGAACCCATTATACCGGGAAATAGAAGCGGATATGAAAAGTATGAATAACAACTGGAAAGAACTTGATAGGACTGCCCAGGACGGGGTTGGATGAAGAATGCTGGTGGACAACCTATGCTCCTCCACGAGGAGTAACAGGCGCAATTAATTAATTGATTAAGTAAGTACGTCTCTGTTTTATTCTTTAATCTTGTTCATATAATGAGAAATACAAGGAATAAACAACAGACTCTTTTTTAATTTACAGTTAAATGTTGTTTACATTTTACTCAAACATAAATCTAATTTTCTTAAATGTTTTATCAAATAAATTAAATTAAAACATGTAGCATTAAACTGTGAGTTCAAATTTCAATGATTCAGACAGTTGTTTCCTCTCCATATCTTGTTAACTAAATTGTAACAAATGATATAAATATCTATTTATAAATGACCAACTATGTACTTTTGAAATATTATCATTGTTATTCCATAGAGTAAAGATTGACTATTTATTCTATGGAGTGTAGATTTTGTTGAACCTGTATTTCCTGTTTTTATAAATAATAATAAAAACGTTTAATTAGTTTATAAACTATTTGTTTGTATTTCAAAAAATCATTTATATTATTTAAAAGTGAACTAATTTGGATGTTTGTTCTTTTTTATTTTCTTTGTCTCATTCAGTCTAGCGCGCGAGCAATTAACCACTAGGCCACTGAGCTGCATCCAACGGTGTTAATATCTAACTTCAACCAATCCACGAAATTGAGCGACACATCCACCATTGTCTTCAGTAAGTTAATATCTCCCAACAGACCCGGTTGAACTCCACTGGTCGCTGCTTCCCATTAGAACTCCAGGAAATACCTCTTGGAATCAGTTACTAGTGAGCAAATATTGATTATTATCAGAAGGGGTTTCTTGTGGAGATTTTAGTAGTTTTACAGTTGAAATCATTATTCAATTGAAGCTAGACCACCATGGAAAACCTGAAAGCACTGGTCGGCCGTTTCATCCTATTGCTGTTGAAGTTAGACATTAACACCGTTGGATGCCGGCTCGCTCAGTGGTCTAGTGGTTGAATGCTTGCGCGTGAGACTGACAGGCTCAGGGTCCAAATCTAGTGGGGCGGAATCGTGGATGCGCACTGCTGAGGAGTCCCACAATAGAACGAAACGGTGATCCAGTGCTTCCAGATTTTCCATAGTGGTCTAGCTTCAATTAACTCATGATTTCAACCATAAAATTGCTAAAATCTCTACACAAAACCCCTTCTGATTATCTTATTCGTTTAAAACCGCTAAATCATCATACTGTTATATCGTAATCATTGGTCTCATTTCATTTGTTCAGTATAATATTGATAATAATTTTAGTTTCTCGGCAGTTTCT